GAGGCTGATAATTGAGTTAAAGAAAATAGCTCAACAATTTAATACACAATATGCCAAAAACGTCCACAAGCACACCATGCTCTGACAGTGAGCTGCTTTGAATATCCGAACGGCATGAACAGAGTTTAAGAATGGCACGGTTTGTGCCAGAGTGCGCTCCGGCACCCAGAGTGACTATTTACAAGTTTAGTTACGTTTTTAAACTTTGTGGCATCATGACATCCCATTTGAGAATGCAGCATTAGAACCATCTCGTCTGGTCTTCAACCTTCATACATTTTCCCACACCACACCGCTCCTCCGCTCCCTTCACTGGCTTCCAGTAACTGCTAGAATCCACTTCAAGACACTAGTACTTGCGTACCATGCTGTGAATGGTTCTGGCCCTTCCTACATCCAGGACATGGTTAAACCATACACCCCAGCACGTGCACTCCGCTCTGCATCAGCCAAACGGCACCCTCACTGCGAGGCCGTGCGAGGGGGACCCAAGTTCCCATCAGCTAAAACACGTCGGTTTGCTATCCTGGCTCCAAAATGGTGGAATGAGCTCCCCATTGACATCAGGACAGCAGAAAGTGTGCACATCTTCCGGCGCAGACTGAAAACACATCTCTTTCGACTCCACTTCGAGCAATAAAAAAGAAAAAAAAAGAAAAGCACTTATATACATTACTAACTAAGCACTCATATACTAACTAAGCACTTATACTAACAAAGGACTGGTTTATCTAAAGCCAGTTGAGTAGCACTTAAAATGTTTTGGCTCTATGAAACCTAATGTACTTATATGATTCTGTTTTCTTCAAGTTTGTATCTTCTTGGTCGAATGCACTTATTGTAAGTCGCTTTGGATAAAAGCGTCAGCTAAATGCAATGTAATGTAATGTAATGTAACCAGACAGTCTGTGAAAAGCATTGGTGTAATGTAGTGAAGTACATTTACTCAAGTACTGTACTTAAGTACAATTTTGGGGTACTTTACTTGAGTATTTTTATTGTATGCTACTTTATACTTCTACTCCACTGCATTTTAGAAGCTAATATTGTTGCTCAACATGCTGCCTTTAGGTTCGTCATGAAACAATGCCACTTCCTAGGAAACAATTAATCTTAAATAATAACATCATGATCTTTTCGCTAACACTGAAACAACATTTGGTGTGCTTATTTTAAAGGTCCCCTATTATACTGTTTTTCATCAATATATTATAGGTCTCAGATATATACAAACATGTCTCTGAAGTGTTTGGCTCCAAATACCAAACAGATCATTGCAGCATCCCATAATCCCCTCTGTTTCAGCCCTGTTTCGAAAGTGCTGATTCTGTCTGTTACTTTAGATGAAAATAAGGAGCCACTCCCCACGCCCCTCTGAGAGATATTTGGTTAAAAAGAACACAATGGTGATCTAGGAGGAGATTCAGGTGATAAGAGGGGGGGGGGGTTACCTTGGTTGGTGATTGGCTAATGGTTACACAAGCCAAAAAAAACGTTATGACATCATAAAGTGGCCAAAATCTGATCAGCTCATTTTCAGACAGGTTTATATATAAATAGATCAGGAGAAAAAGTGAGCGAATATTTTTTCCTGAAACTTTCAGAATCTCTTTACACAGAGGGGACACATGTTTATGTATAAAACGTGAAAAAGTGGATTTTTCACCATAGGTGACCTTTAAGTTTTTACTGAGAGAATTAAGTACATGTAGCATCTTGTTTCTTATTTTGATTTGATTATGTGTTTTATAAACAGTTGCAATGCATGGTGGAGCTTCTGGGTGTTCCTGCAGACCATCTTCTCAGTGAAGGGAAACAACCTTTATATATACAGTCTATGGGAACAACCCATATTTTGTTAAGTCACATTCCAGCTGGAGACTCAGGGTACAACGACACCTCGTCAATAAGATGTTCTGATCTAGTAACCTTCTTTTAGACACCACAAGAGCTAACTATGACACCTCTCACTATCGCGGACAACAGGCGATAGCGAGAGGTGTACAGATTACACAATTCTGACTATTACGAATAACCTTTTATGGCTAATTTACGTAACGCTGCCTCAAATGTGATACGTGAATTTGCCAATTAAATGATGACTTGTCGAAAGTCAAATGCAAGATATGTGCAGAGCTGTTTATTCATGATTTCACCAAAAAAACAACTAGTTTACCAAATGCTAAGATATTTTAATTATCTCTTTGCAAAGTTGCAATTTATGACCTTTATGTATCACCTTTAGTAACTTAGTAACGTAAAACACCTTTAGATTTTGATTCATGATGCCAAATATAATCAACACTTTAATCAGACTTTAGTTACACCAAAGCTTCCCTGCAGTATGCAAAGTAGTTAAAGCTAGCTGCACATTTAACAGCTTTGACAAACACAGTAATGCATCAATAATATATTATTCTAAAATGGGCCGATCCACATTCCACCCACACTCACCGTATATATTCAAATGTTTTCCAAATCTAGGCAAACTGCCTAATAAAACATTAATCGAAGCAGGAAATCCACCATATTTTCTCCTGGTGGGCTTCCTATGGACTTCCTCACACTCAAAGAGAAGCAGGCAGAGGGAGGGATAAACAACCTCACTATATCCAATCATAATAAATGTGTTGCATTTAGAGACAAATGTTATTCCAGCACAGGTGTTCCCAGTTATTCTCAGTGATTAGACCTGTTCTCAGGTTAGGGTTAGACTGAGCTGCTACTAATTATTTTCTATAATGACTAATCTGCCCATTGTTTTTCGATAAAGTCTTGTTGCATTTGTAAATGTCAGAAAAAAATTAAACCTACCTTATTTAACAGAGCCCAACATGACATCTTCAAATTGGTTGTTTCACTGATTTATGTTACTTGTTAGATGCTTTTATCCAAAGCGACTTACATACTCAATACTGTGGACAATCCCCACAGGAGCAATTTGGGGTGAAGTGTCTTGCCCAGGGACACAACGACATGCTGACTGCAGTGGGGTTTGAACCTGTGACCCCCTGATCCGAACACCTACGGACAATCCATTACGCCACACGCCGATTTATAATCCAAGTCCTAAATATTTAGTTTAAGTAACTAAGTACATTTTTAAGTAGTGCACTTAAGTACAATTGCCAAGTATTTGGAATGTATTGAAATGTTCCATTTCCAATACGTAATACTTTTCTCAACTACATTTTGGAAGCAATTATTGTACTTTTTACTCCTCTATATTTATTTCACATTAGTAAGTTTACTTATTTTAAACTTCATAACATTAATAAAACATAAAAATGAACTAATCAATTGTGATGTGCTGTTATGGACTAAGATACCCAGCAATATAGTTACTTGTAACTAAAGTTAGTTTAGTTTTGGTACTTAAAGTGTATGTTGATGTGAATACTTTGGTCCTATTACCTAAGTAAAAAAATGCATGCAAGACTTTGACTTTTAACAGAGTATTTCTACACTGTAGTTGAATATATTTACTTAAGTGAAAGCTCTGAGTACTTGTTCCACCTCGGAAAAAATACAAAATAGTGAGATTACTTGGCTTTGATGTTCAAATCAACTAATCATTATATGAACTGTCAAATAATTGCGGCTCCACACCAAACAGCCAATATATGAATGGAAAACAAAATCCCCTCCCAGCTCTGCACTGTTACTGGGGTACGGTTTATCTTCTAAGGATCAGGAAGTGTTAAATGTGGTAAAATGTACGGACACTCATTATCAGCACAAGTTCAGCATTTGCCTTTAAGACCATAAACTGGTCAATACACACAAACTCTCTTAATCTGTCTGTTTCACTAAGCTGTTTAATTACTCTTATACACAGCCAAAACACATCTTAACACTCTCTCTGTTTTCTCTCTCTCTCTCTCTCTCTCTCTCTGTTTTCTCTCTCTCTCTCTCTCTCTCTGTGTGTTTTCTCTCTCTCTCTCCCTCTCTCCCTCTCTCCCTCTCTCCCTCTCTCTCCCTCTCTCCCCTCTCTCTCTCTCTGTATTGCTTGCAGAAGATAAGCAACAGATAGTGTTTGTAGTTTATCAGAAGTTAATCATTTAGTTCCATCCTCTCAGATGGACAAAATAACAGAAACACTTATAGCACTACAGAGACATTTTTTTTACAACATATGCACTATTTTCACCTCTTTAGGAAGGTACTGACTACTGAGCCTTTTAGAATGTGGTTTTGAAGATGATGTCATGTTTATAGTTTTGCTGCAATTTAAAAATATATATTTTCACTTTTGACTAACCTGAGGATTATTCTCTTGATTTCCCAAAGTCAAATGTCACATTTTGAAATCGTGTAGTTATGTCATACTAACTAGTGGTGGAAAGTAACTAAGTACATTTACTGGAGTCCTGTACTTAAGTATACATTTTGGTACTTTACGTGAGTATTAACATTTGTTTTACTCCACGACATCTCAGATGGAAATATTGTACTTTTTACTTTATTTGTCATTTGTGGTGGTTGAATTAAATGTAATGTTTTTATATATTTGTACTAACTTACCCAGTATTTGAAGTATACAAAATATGCTCCACCTTAGCCAATTACGAGTTCAAAAACTCCTTTATGAAAAATAGTGGAATATTTAATATTACAGCATTTTAGAGACAATTGAATACTGAATACTTTTATTTTCTATACTTAAACTTTTTATTTTTTACTTTAATACTTCCAAAGTAACCATTTGAACTCAGAACTTGCTTGTAATAGTCTTTTTAGACTTTACTGCTTTTACTTGAGTAAAGTATCCAAGTACATTTTCCACCAATCATACCAACAATCAAAAAGCTTATTTCATATTAGTTAAAGAAAAGCAGACAATCTGCTTATTTTGAGAACCAGCAATAATTGTAATTAAAACCATTTAATTTGTTATTTTCAAGAGTGTTTTATGTTTTTTTCTTGTTTTTCTGTGATATGTGCTACCTTAAAGTGCAAATTAATTCCTAAACTGGTTTGATTTTCCGGTATGGACACACCTGCCTCGTTGATGTTCTCCTCGCAGGAGTACCAGATGCCCGTGTGGAAGCGACGGAAGAGGAAGCGGTCGTCCCCGGTCTCCCAGCTGTAGTGCACCTTGTTCTTGTCCGTCTCGTTAACACCGTAGTCGATGCAGTTGTGGCGCCGCTGCTTGCTGCAGTTGGGCTTTGGCACGCGCTGGGTGCCCTCGCACCAGTACGTGGTGATGAAGGCAGTGGTGGAGAAAAACAGAGCCACGAGGTTCAGACCCACGGACAGCAGCGCGCGACATTTCCGCGTGGTCTTCATGATAAACAAAGTTCATCCAAAGAGGTTGTTGGTCAGAGGATGAGAGGCATGACGCGGGAAAGACGCACAGAGGAATTACGCGCGTCTGTGCCTCTTTGCTCCTCTTTGTCTTAGTTTGTCCTCGCGGAGAAGTGACAGGTGGTGCAAACTGCACGAGAGAATACCGTTATAAACCTGCCATTTACTTCAGCATTAGATCCTACAACTCCCAGCGTCCCCGTCTCAACAACTCTCAACAAGGACTGGGGCACACTGATGAAACGTCTCTCTGCCCCCCCCTCTCTCTTTCTCTCCCCTCTCTCTCGCTCCTCGTGCGTCATCGCTGTGACCGGACTGTTTTTTATCGGGAGATGCTCTATGATTCTTTCACAAAATACTGGAATATAATCATAAATGTTTTATCACAGGAAGTCACCTTCAGGTTTTATCAGACAATCAGGATAATGAATGTATTGTCATATACAAAATAAAAGCAGCAAATGTTCTCTTATAAGAAGCTTACATTTTATTTTATTGCCAACGTATTATAACAACAATAACTTTATTTGCGCACCTTTTTCAGTGCTTTGACATAGTTAAATAAATCTTAGAAATCCATGTGAAATGTCACCTTCAGATTTGTTATAAGCCAAGCAGGATATTTAGCTAACCCTAACCCTTTAGGTTACATAACAAACAAAATAATGTTATCCAAAGCCACATGTGCATCGCTCACATTTAAAAACGTGTTACAATGCTATCAATACACAAACATTTGCTTCAAGATTCAACGAAAAGTGCTGCCACTACAGGATGTACGCACAATAGATCAACCCTTTCGGTTTAAAGCTGGAGCAGAAATAAAAGTGTTTTGTCAGTATTAAGCTGTTAAAAATGATTTACCCAACATTTTTATTGTAGGGCACATCTGTAAAACAAAATGTTTAGCAAATTGTTGGGCTAAAACTATTGTACAGTTGATCAGCATAACAACAGCAGGCGATATCTTTAAAAATAAAGCTGGAGAAGATGTTCAAGCAAAAGGAATAGGATCCAGTCTGGAGCTTTGGGGTACACCAGAAAACAGAGATTAATGTAATGAGGGTTCAGGTATGCACAGTTGGTGCAAAAACTCCTGTCTAAGAGGTAATCCAGTGCAGAGGTGATCCTAAAATGTACTGCCTAAGCCTCTCAACTCAGTGTTGTGGTCTAATGTGACCAATACAGAATATTCTCCTGCACCATGACATCAAGTCAAATTCCTCGTACGTATCAACCTACCAGGTAATAAAACTGTTTCTAATATGATGAGATCATTGCAGCCCATCTGAGAAGAGCCAACCTACCTGAACACACCCCTCCTTAATTAGTTTTTCCAGCTGTGATGTGCTGCAAGAACATGTAGAAACTAGCCATCCCTCTTTATCGATCTGCCAACTGAAAGCTCACATCTCCAGGCATGAAAATCACCAGCGACAAGGCCGAGCCACCCACCACATCCATCTATCACCCCTCATTTTATGGCTCCCACCTCCAGATCAATACAGTCAGCCTATGTGTGTGTGTGTGTGTGTGTGTGTGTGTGTGTGTGTGTGTGTGTGTGTGTGTGTGTGTGTGTGTGTGTGTGTGTGTGTGTGTGTGTGTGTGTGTGTGTGTGTGTGTGTGTGTGTGTGTGTGTGTGTGTGTGTGTGTGTGTGTGTGTGTGTGTGTGTGTGTGTTATGGCAGCACAGTCTGATTCAGAGTGACAAAGCACTTCAGAAGGGTCAATAAAAAGAGAAGAAAACGGTGCGTTGATAAATGTGTGATAATGCCGTTGGATATATCTGCAGTCACACTGAGCAGTTCAAATATTAACACATATATAAAAGTATAATGACTGCAGCCCTCCTTTCAGGTAACAGTGACAGCATTTTAAACACTGGGAGTCCAGTCTTTGACTTCAGGTAAAGAAACTGATATATTTTAGTATCAGGGAACATTTTATTCTATATCACAACATTTCTAAGGGTTTTGGTCTTTTCCACAGGCAATTTAACATTCAAGATTCAATCATTGTCATTGCACAGTTCAAGTAAATGTTTAGCATCTCACAAAAATTGCTAAAAGCAGGAATAATCTACAGAAATGACATAACCTAAACCCAAATGTTAACTTACTTGCCTCGCCACATCTGTAGGTATATATTTATTTAGTAGTTTTGTTGCCTAAATTCCACGAGTTGTTTCTTATGAAGAAGAAGGTTTAATTTTAAACATAACTACCGGAAATGTGTACATAATGCTGGATGTTTGAAGGACAAATTACGAAAATTACAATACATATATATATATATATATTTTAAATATCATAAAAACTGTTGAGTGGTATATTGGTATGATTTCAAGCCTCCTTGAATCGGTCAAATTATGGCTTTGTGATTCCAACAATTTCAGCTGCCTTTGGATTACTTTATTTTTCATTTTATTACCCAGAATGTAACAACACTAACTAATTTAATGACACAAATCCAAATAGGACACTCTTAATTTTGTTAATGTTGATATATTTCTGGTTATGTTTTGTGATCTTGAAACCAACATGTCCTTTTACACGTAACACCTTGCTTCCATCATAGCCTGTAGTTATCTAGATAACCCTTTCTAACCTTAACCCTTATTAACGCTTTTATTAAGACTCTTATATTGTGATAGTATTTTAACAAACCCAGTGAGAGTCAAATCATATTTTAGTTGGTTTCTACTTTATCTTAGCATACCATTTTTTACCTTCTAAGCTCCCAAAATAGAGCTCTGATTCACTTAGTCTGTGTGACGGTTAAATCCCCTTTCTGGCTTGAAAACACACACACACACACCTACATATTTTTTACTCTGTAGTTGGATAGATGCCCCTGACAAGATTTCCCATTGGATGTATGAGACCATCTGTGGGTTCGCCCCGGCTTTGTTTGCCGTCTGAATTAAAACCCGGCATCAGCCGTCCAAGTTAACACAGCTCAGTGCTGCTGCAGCTGAAACACGATACACCCCAGGCAACAACAGCAAAACACACCAAAGCTACTGTAACTTAACTTAAGTGCACACTCAGGAACAACAACCCTCAAGCACCGTTTACTTCACAGGCTTTGTTTTGTGCAGCATTTTCTTCTGGGGACATTGTCCAGGTATTGTTTTTGTTTCTTTTTGTCTGGCAAAGTAGAAATACCACACTGCATCATGTCCTTATATAATGGTTCGTATGATATGTAACAAAAAGTATTCCTCATTTTTCACGTGTTATCCTTGTTTCAGTAATAGTACAGAGATAGCATCACAAATATGTACGGTAAGTATTAAAAAGTACTTTTTAAATAGTACTTTTTAAATAAAAATTAATTGTATTATTATAGCATATTATATAACTGTTTTTTCACCAATTAATTATTGTGTTATATACAGTATGTTGTATATTTGTCCCTAGATATACCATAACTGTATTACACATGTGCTTGCCTTTCTTATTTAATTTTATCTGTACTTTTATTGACGTAACGCTGTAAATTGTACCCGCTGTGGGACGATTAAAGGATTTCTGTAGGGATCAACACCTGGACTTGCTGCCTGAGGAACAGACTCGCTGCTCCTGACTGTTCTCAGGTGTCACATTTCTACCTGTCACACAGACAAACACACTCACTTTGTGCTGATATTTGAGAGCTATCAGCGGCTCAGAGCGACCTTGGTTTAAATTGAGTGCAGCCTGTGAACTGAAGTGGATGCTGTGTTTAATCAGAGTCAGCGGTTCAGCTCTGTGTGTCTGACACTGTGAGGCTGCAAATACACAACACAATCCAATTTAATACAAGATGCTGATCATTTATGAAGAGTTATTATACAGAAAAGTCACAATATACAATCAATATCAAGCCGCCCATAAGACTGATTCCATTTCAATACATTTACGTAACGCCACAGCCACACAGGGTAAACAATTCCACTGCACCCTCACCTTCAGCAGTTCAGCTGCAGTAAAACGTGCCAATTATCAACACCACACATTTGATTAAAGGTCCCATGTCATGCTTTTCTAGTTATTACCCATCCCCTTGTGTGTTATGAAGGTTTTTATGCATGTAAGCGGTCTGCAGAGTCAAAAACCCTCAAAGTACACCCTGTAGCGAGTAAAACTCTAACACAGAAAAGACCTGTCTATGCTGCCCCAGAACACCTGGTTGGAGATTTCTCTTTTTCCATTTGTTTCTTCCCGGAACCAAAATGGACCAATCCGCGGAGCTCCTCACACACCAGGACCTTTAGCGTACATTTTCAACTAACAGGGAGTCCCATTGACTTGCATAGAGCTCCCTGGTTGGTAATAGACGAAAAATGCTCTCTGCAGACCCATTCTCACAGCGTTTATAAACCTTTTTCTTACTCAATATCAAGCCACACTTATTGTTTTTACTTCGGCGGTGAGTGTTTGTGTGTGCTCAGGATGAGTTTCGCGCTGTCCCGCTGTATCGCCAACCCGGAAACCACACCAGTAAGCCAGCTGAGTGAGCAGCGAGCCTCGCAACATCCCGACCAATCAGAGCACACTGGGCTCACAGGGAGGGGGGGGCAGGAGCTCCAACAAGCCGTTTAGGACAGAGAGTGAATACCGGTGAATACACATACTTTACAGAGATGCTGTATGAGAAACCAATGTGAGTGTTACGGCTGTATGTATTCCCTGTTTCTTTTTCCCTTTCGTTCCTCTACCCAGGTGTGCTGCATTGCTGTAACGAGGTTCAGACGAGGTGCACCTGGAGAAGGAAGTGCTTAAAAGCTCCAGTGCAGCAGCAGAAGAGGGAGGCCTCTGGTGTGGGGACTGCTGTGTTTCTGCCTCTCATCCTAGGATGGATAATTAAACATTTGATGTGTTGATTATAATAAATCCTATGGATTTGATGATTTTAAAAGGTGTCTTTCGTGTTTTATTTGGGTCAGTGGTGGAATTTTGTAAGCCCCATAGGGCCATTTTAAGGGTGGGGCGTAACAGT